TCGCAAAAGATGATTTAGGGTGAGATCGAGGGACGTGGAACCCAGAACGGACGACGGGCTCTTTCGCAGCAGGATATCGTGGTCCCGCCGGAGAGGCTGGCCTCTCTCTTGGCAAAGTTGTTGCGGTGCGTCTGATTGAAGGAGGAACAGGATGTAACCCAATAGGAGCAGCAACGGATCGGGAACGACCTTGGATGGGAAATGGGTCTCGATTACTGCCTTCGTATTTCTTCAAAAGACCTGTTCCGATCTTTGTGTCGAGCTCCCAGCCAAGGTTGAAACTCATGCTACCGAGTGAGACATCAGCGACTGCTGAGTTGGTGAGTTTGGGATCATCAAGCTTGGATGTTTCCTCGCGATATTTTCCAAGAAGAAAATAGAAAGCTTTTGCGTGCACCCCTTGACCTGCGGGAGAGCACAAGTCCCGTTTAATCGACTCGCCTTCCCGATCTGTGTACTTGCCCCAGATGATACGAAGCGAAGAGAATAGGTCCGCATCGATCAACGAAGGATGGAGAATAGGGCGTGCGAGGACTTCCGGTGAAGGAGGGACCGAGGGATTCGGAGGAATCTTGCTGACCAATGCTGCGGCAGAAGAGGTTACCCAAGGATGCACAAGAATCTCGGGGATCTGTTCAAATATTCAGTAAACATGCGCATATCATGCTTGATGCTCTTACCGTGATTCGCTGATGAACATCAACAACCAACATACGAGATAGGAGGTTTTTTGCCAACGGATCCAGTGACTGAGGCATTTCAAAAACGCCGCTCTTCACCTTGCTTAGCAGAATCCCAACGTCCTTGTCATCGAACGGCAGTCGGCCTGAGAGTAGAGCAAAAAGAACAATACCGCAGCTCCAGATGTCTGTCGCAGTTCCTTGGTACCTGTGTCCGTTGACGATTTCGGGACTAGCGTAATGAGGAGAGCCGCAGCTTGTCTCCAGATGAAGAGAAGGGGGAGCGAAGGCTGCCATACCCCAATCGGCTATCTTGACGAGGGGCGGATTAAAAGAAGCGATTAGAATGTTCTCGGGCTTGAGATCGCGATGGATGATAGAGAATGTATGCGCGTAGTTGAGACCATAGATGATTTGCAAGAAAACGGTCAGAGCTTCAGAGGGATCCAAGCGGCCTTTGTTGACCAGGAAATCAAAAGCTCTCCGCCTTCGACGTACTCAAGAATGAGAAAGAGCTCCCTAGTTCCCTCGTAGACGTCATAGATGCGTAGGATGTTGGGATGGTTCATGAGCTTCATCATCGTAATTTCTCGGTCGATTCCTAGGCGTTGTTTCTCCGTTTTAGCTTGTTGGGTAGCAAGAGAGGCACGAGAATTGACCAGCGGTGCAAGGGGGAGGATTTTGACGGCAGCGAGCTGTCCAGTTCGTTTGTGCTTAGCGATCTTGACGCGACCAGAAGCGCCTTTCCCGACGCACTCGCCTATAATCCAAGGTCCTATACACTTCGGATCTGTAGCGTATTCGAACGCTTCAGCACCGCCAGCCGCAGCCTTCTCCTTTTCCCAACGAGTTCCTAGCGGTGCTTTATACATGACAGGAGGCGCGCGAGGTGGACTTGAAGATACTGGAAACGCCATGGCAGCAGAGGAGAGACAGAAGAGATGTAGCTAGGAACACGAGCGGCTCGGCCAGCAAGCAGCAAGATGAAGGAACCAGTAGAGCTGGTGGTTGAAGGTCGGATGGAACGGTCCAGCGAACGTCACGCTCAGTGACAGTATTTGGGCGGGATCACATGACGTGACTACATCACATAAACTTATCCTCGAAATTTATCAGCAGACGACAACGACGACGCTACGAACCTATTGCTTCTGTATCGACGGGAACAGAAGGTTGAAGGTGGTTAATCAGTACTCTCCATGTTCTATTTCTGACTAGCATGGCAGGCGTACAGTCGGTGAGCGACATACCGTCGGTGCTGTCTGGAATTTCCAGCTACACCATTCAGCAACCAGTATTCGTCGTACACATGCATGTCATCTACGCGGATTCTAGCCCGTCTTCCATGGGCATCTCTTGGGCGCCTCAACTGGAATGTTGTATCCCGGACCATCGTCCATTCTCGGCAGCGTCCTGGACGGCGTAGAAATGTCAGATGAACCCTATCCTTCGGAGCCACCTGACCGTAAAGTTTTCGAAGAACGGGAGATGAAGGACTATTCAGCTGTGTCTGCAGAACTGAGGTCGCCTCCACGGACACGGGTGCCAGCGCAGGTCCTGATCGACCTTGTTCGTACTGGCGATTGGGAGCTTGCCAACCGTGTTCGCCTCGAGATGGTTGAAAACGGGGCGAAGATATCTCTGAATCCCATCTTCGAGAAAGCGGCTTTAGCTGCGCTACAGTCTCTTCGAATTGGAGACGACCTTACGCCTTTCACAGTTTGGCTCGAGCTGTGTCCCGACGCCTCCAAGTCACCTCCAAATCCATTCCGAGAGATACGTGATTATCTTTGGAAGGATCCTTCAAAAAGGATCTCTTTAATATATCACTTCGGCATGGTCCTGGCGAAGAAAGGTTACACGACATTGGTCAAGGAAGAGGTCATTCCTGCTATGGAATTTGTTTCTTCGCGGTTTCACAACCGCAAGAGCATGTTCATCAAAAATCTCCAGCAGGCACTTCTCCCCATCGTTCTCCCAGAATCGTCGCCCGGCTCTCTCATCTTTGAGGAGGAAGATCACCCCGACTATGCTAGCGTTGCCCAAGCTTCAATCGGCATCTCTCACAAAAATCTTGGTGACCACTTAGTGGAGCTGGTTGCCGATCGGAAATACGACGAGGCAAAACAATTTTTGCTCGAGCTTCGCGAATGCCATACCCATATTCCTTTTTCGCCAATCTACCAGGCCGCCGCCAAGAATGCTTTACAGCATTCGGCAACCGCTACGGAAAGTCTTGAAGACTTCACGGCATGGTTTTCCCTCGTTCCTCTGTGCCATGACCAATCCCTCGAGGAGTTCACGGACATTCGAAAGCTGATTCTTCATGCGCCTCTGACAAATATGTCCTTGATCATCCAGTTCGCCCTTATATGCTCGGAAAAAGGGTATGCTGATGTCATCGGCAGTCAAGTCATTCCAAGTATTATGCGTTTCGCGAGCCCCGATGTCAGCAAGCAGTTTTACTTGCAATTTGAGGAACAGCACCAGCAGTATCTGAAACAGTATCATGGACGGTCTACCCGCTCTGCCTGGAGTATATTCCAATCAGTTATGCGCGGTTCAGCTATCCGATCCTTGGCTTACGCCGGTCGGATAGATACAGCAATAGATATGTTACCTCCCAAGAGAGCGACATACTTTTTGTCAGCTTATACTTGCGATGTTCTCAACAACTTTCTTGTCAAAGCCGGCGACGCCAAGTATCTCCCTCTCCTTGGGTACTTGAGGACTATGCGTGCCCAGCAGCTTGGACGAGACGATTCTCTTCTACAAGACTATGCCCAATCTTCGATCACTTCGCAGTTCACTTCGCAAACTCACACACTCCCTTACGATGACCGGTCAGAGTCTCTGGCTCAGACTCTGCGTTCTGTCAGAAGGTCGTTCTCACCCGGTCATGCTCCTCCTCACCCGTCCACTCTAATCAACTTTTTTAATGCCTACGTCGACTCGGGACGTTCGCGCGCCATTGATCTCCTCCGGCGAAAGGCCCTTCGCTCCAGTCCCATAGCCACCACTGTCTTTGTTTTCACGCAGATGATCACCTATTACCGACTGAACCAACACCACCTCGTCCTCCAAACATTCGTCGACAATTTTTATATCACAGGCGTACCTCGAGCCGAGGTAATAGCCTGCTTGAAGGTGCAGCAGGGTGTTCTTGCGTCTGTGCCTTTGGCGCATCGCAGCAAGTTGTGGCCAACGGCCTACCATACTGCTCTCGTCTGGCATTCCCTTGTCGCCACGACATCGACCTCGGTTAAAGTTGAAGTCCTCTATAAAAAGCTCATCGCAACCGCTTGTGGAGAATACTCGGACCATCTATCCGAAACTCTAGCCTCTTTTAGTGGTGTGGAAGCGCTTCAGACTCCCCCCGGAGTTAACAGCGTCTGCGCTGCCGCATTTACGCCTTTCATGGGAAAGCTTATGCGGTCATCAGGTGTGGAGCGAGGTGCCAATATTCTAGCGGATATGCTCAAGCTAGGGATCCAACCCACGGCATATCATTTCACCGAGCTCGCAGGTTATTACGCATCTACGGGTAATGCTCAGAGAGCCCTCTTCCTTCTGGGCCGATTGGAGACTGCCTTTGACCAACAGGGTGATAACGAGGACATCGAAGTGCCTATCTCTGAGAAGGAAATACGAGAGACGGTGACTGGTGCAGCGTCTTCCGAGGAGTCACCGTCTATTGAACACACTCGACCGGTACCTGCGTCTGTTCCCAATGCGCTGCCCGTACCTTCGTTTGTCATGTACGTCTCCCTTATGCGGGGATTCCTTATTTCCCAGAATTTCGACGCGGTCGCAGAGGTCAATGAGCGTATGCTCAAACGATATGACTATACACCCGGGCAGAACAGCTATCTCGATGCCGTGTATTCCGATTGGCAGATGAAGCAGGAAGGAAACCGGTATCCTATTCGACCGTTGCCTGTGATCAAATATAGGCGAGTACAGCCGGTGAGTAAATCGCTTCTTTTGTGGTCACTAGAATTCATGTGGCGTAACGACGACAGGGTGATGACGCCGCATGATGCATAAGTAAGCGTCAAGTGGCAAAAGTCAAAAAGCAGTTAGCTCCAATCAGGAATACCCTAAAGCACCCTAAAGCTTGCGGATCCGTTGTTAGTCTTGCATTTAGATCATAAGATGTTACTTCTTTCCGGGAGCGGGTTAGATGGAAGTGGTTTAATGCCCTTTGAATGTTCTGTATGTATCAATGCGCTCGGAGGAAGGGAGATATATTTTAATCCATGAATAGAGCAGTGACTGAAATAGTACGTATGTGTAGATCGTAAATATCATTATGTATACCCGACTTTAGCTCAGTTGGAAGAGCATCAGACTGTAATTGGTTACGTAATCACGGCATCTGGTGGTCGCCTGTTCGAACCAGGCAAGTCGGATTCTTTTGCTACGATATGTTTTGGTTCTACGTCGAGTAGCGCGGCGTTTTGAAAGGCGGAAGGGGACGGAGGCGAAAGATATACAGTATACTGGTCGGCGTGACGGCGGCCGATCGATCAATGTTTGTGACGGCGTGACAACATAGCATCCGGAATGAAGAGGCCGGTAGAGCCTTTCCAACGACCACCTACTTTCTCCACGATTGCGTCTCGTCGCCAGTTATAGCGACAACACCTCGCCCTAACGGTGCAACTTGCCATGCTTGGCCCCTTCCTATCGTTATTCCTTCTACTTTTAGAGTTCCCAGCGCCGTCGATAGCGTACTCATGGCATTTTACTTCGACACCAACCCAGTGCCAAAACCTCACCGTCAGCATCTCTGGCAGTGACGGCAAAGGACCGTATCGTGTCCTTATCGTTCCCTTCGGATCAACACCGTTTGCAAACAATACAGAAGTGCGGCGGATACTGGACCAGAAGTTTTCTTCAGACTCGGCGACAGATGTCACCTTCCAGCTCAGCTATCCCGAGAATTCACAGTTTGTTGCAGTGGTGAGTTTTTTTGTTTCTTTGCTCTTCCCGGTGGCAAAAGGACTGCGTTGAATCACTGCGGGCCCTTTTGTCGCCGCGTTTGGAGAGGATAGGTTCGGGTTTCACGCTAACGCGGTTCTAGGTCAGTGATGCGACAGGATTTGGCTCCGGCGGTACAAGCGTAGCTGCACAAGTCACATCTTCCTCCGACACTTCCTGTTTCGACGCTTCCAAGGAAGTCTCGCCAGAGTTTGTCTATTCCATTGAACCATCAAATCAAATAGTACAGTGCCAAGAAACGCGCATATGGTGGGACCCGGCAACCGTTCAAGGGTACGTCGAATAGTCTATCGTACTTTCTACATTCCAACCCTCTCCCAATCAGAACACCCAATTTCCTCGGCGTCATCCCTGGTGGAGAGTCGTTCACTGTCCCGGAAGCCTCTTTAACCAACGTCACCAGCCAGGGAACGGGGTTTTCATGGACGCCTTCTATTCGTGGAGGGACAACTTTACTGCTGGTCGGCGGTGACGATCGAGGCAACGGTACAGCGGGCAGTGCACTCTTTACCGTCAGCAGCGGCATCTCGAATAATAGCACCTGTCTTAATTCGGAGAGTCCGAGTTCGACACCCGGCACCCCTGCTGGTGGAAGCTACCCCACGGGCACGAATGGCGAAGGCACAGGCAGCAACAGTAGCAATGGAAACAACACGGGTGCCATTGTAGGTGGCGTCATAGGCGGTGTCGTGGGTGTCGTTGCCCTTCTTCTCCTGCTCTGGTTTCTCCGGCGCCGACATCGGCAGAAACAAGAAAAGGAAAAGACCGTGGATTTACTCCACGAGGATGATGGCGATGAACGGTCTCCAACTGCTGCAGAGTTACCGCAGTACTACGAACCGGAACCGTTTATCGTTCCGGATCCGACTGTGGCGTCCGAAGATGGGAGGTTGAGTGCCGATGGACGGCCAATAAGCCAAATCTTATCAAGCAGGAGCGGGACACCTGACATTCCTGGTTCGACGACGAGTATGGGTGGAGCGAGGAAGGGCGGGCTCAGGTCGCTACGGCCTGTTAATATTATTCAGCACGATGACGCGGGTCCTAGTGGTCCCCCAGTGGCAAGAGAGGAGGAAGAGCCAGAGACCATCGAGCTACCGCCTGCTTATACGAAAATCCGACAATAGGTCCTTGGTATCTATTGTTCACTCATTTTTCCGGCGTGGATTTCCTTCCTTTTCTATACCTCATTATCATGGTTGCGAGCATACCACCTTCTGTCCTACGATACTATTATAACCCTTTCATTATCATCGTCACTTTTGTTGTTTTTATGTCGCTATCGAATTCACTGCGCTTTAGACATTCATGGACGGACTTTCTTCTTCCCGGGCCAACGCTCTTCGCTTTTCATATCCCTTACCCTTTGTGACATGATGTAGGATATCCCCTTCCGTAGTGTATGATATGTGTCGTGCGACTTTGTATGCAAACACTTACGCGTCGACTCGAATAATTAATAATGGAATTCTAGCCCAAACGCTGCAATTTGAAATTTTCATAACGGAAGGCGCGGTGTTCATGCCCTCCCGAGGACCCCGCTTGAAGAAGCTTGAAGACGATGATTTGCATCCATGTAATGAGATGGCATTCACAAAAGGTATTTCGTAGCACTTTTACAGGAAGTAAAGTACAAACAGCATTAACAATAAAAACGCCTGATAACAAGACAGCCTCAATAAAAATACAACACGCTAAGCTCTATGTAAGTCGGGCATTACCCCGATTCCGCTCATCATTAATCATCGCTCCCTGACTCCGCGACTTCATCATCCCCGTCCGATACAGGGGGCAGCGAAACATCGGCAACAAGCGCTTCCTCCACCTCCGCCTCCTCCTCATCTTCTTGTTCATCAATCTCCTCATCTACTTGATCGCCTTCCTCTTCATCAGAATCCTCTTCCACATAGGTCTTGACTTTAGGTGTCTGCCTAGTGCTGCGTCTCGTAGGGAGAGGCGAGGGTGTCCTGGCAATCTGACTACGATCTTTGGAAGCCCTACAAACAATGGTATTCAGCATCTGGTAATGTCTAATAAAGATCAAGATCTTACGGCTTTGCACCACTACGCTTCTTGCGAGTTGGCGATGACACGGCCGGATGTTTTGAAGGTGTGTGAGCGCGCCTTACGCCAGGCATTGAACAATCAATCACCTAATTCAGAAGTTCAGGCACTTACTTTCTTGACGGTTTCATTGGTGTTACTACCGCCTCTATGGGCGCAAAGTCCGCGTCATCGTCCGACCTGAAAGGGTAGTCGAAGTCAGTCATCTAGTTCAACGATATGAATGACACTAGAACCGCACTCATGGGTTGCAGACGCAGTGGACTTTGCTTTTCCTTTCCCCCTCACCTGAGCTGTTGTAGGTCGGTGACGGTTAGGCGAACTAAAATTAATACCATCAGCATCGAAGACGTCTACTTACCAAAAGCATAGACCTTGAGGAATCATCTCCTGAGTCCAACTGTGGCCGCTCATCAGCTGCTCGTCTGGGAAGCAGATTTGTATCAGTTACAGTCAGCTCACACATCCATCATGCAACTGCGCACCGCTCAAACCGCGCAGGCCTTGCGTTTCCCGCCGCAGGTACTGCGACCCCGATATATTGATATAAGTCACGGAAGTCGTCGTCCATGTGTTCTTGCTCATTGATCTGTTCCAAATCTTTGGAGAAAAGATTGGAGACGCGAGTTCTGAAACGTTCCATGATCTTGTCCAGAGAAACTTTGTTTAGAGGGCATTGCTAATGAGAGTCGCGTCAGAATGGGTGCCTTGTTTGTTGAGCGCAAACGTACAGTATTGAGGTGTTCCAGTAGTACACTCAATTTTAAAATCGTCCGAGGATCCAATTCGGGTGTTATGTTTAACTGACTGAGCAGCTGACAGAGAACCTTCCTTTCATTATCTAGTAGGTGTGAACGGAGAGTTTAATTAGAGTCAGGAACAGACCTGCTCACCGTCCTTGTCTTCGTCATACAGTGCAAGCAGTATATCAACCGCCAAGTATGCGTGAAAATTCTTGTTAGGTGTCAGTTCAGGCATCCTGTGAAAGTAACTCAGCCGGGAGAACGACCAGCGAGGCCAATAATAGACTAACACGTCAACGGATTTCTCTGGATTAATCCAATCCATGAGCAGCAAAGAAAATTGCTGCAGCGAGATCATTTCCTGGCCCTCTTCCAGTTCACCGTGCAGTTGGGAAGCAAGGCTGAACGCATCTATGAAAATCTGCAACCCATGAATGACAATCTCCAGATCAAAAAAATGGCTTACTGATTGCATCCTACCCTGATTTTCTAAAGAGGAATAACAATAGACAGGAAAGAAATACGAGAGACATTGTCTCAATTCAGGGTTGTCGGATGTGGAAGGGGATATATAAGTTAGTACAAGAGTGGTAAGAACCTGATAACTAGCATTATTGCAGTCCTCGCGAGTGTCTGCAAAACACGCACCTTCGGGTCCTTAACCAAGCCGACAAGAAGCAATTTGCATATACCGATGCATAAAACTGCCTGGACAGCATTAGATTCTTCCACTTCAAGTGTCTGGACGAGGAATGTGATAATCTGCTCGGCCTGGATATGAAAGTTGGTATCAGCGAAATATTAACACACAGTTCTGTGTGACGATGCTCACCACTTCCTCCGAGCGACTCAAAAATTCATACTCGTACATAACAAGCAGGTCAAACACAACCTGCAATACCTTCAGTCTAAGCTCTTCGGGGGCATTTTGTATCTGGCTGAGAAACAGCTGGAATGAGCTTAACGCCATGCTCTATTTCGATTCATCAAATGGGCGCAGAATGAAGGAAGAGGAAACGTAAAAACCTTGGCAATGAGACAACATAGTCCAAGACTGACGAGACCTTTCTCTCTCATTGGTAATTCTTTCCTCTTGACGGCAGGAATAATAAGATCAGCCAACATTCCTTCTAGCGTAGAGTTATCCTCAAAGGTCTATGGCCCATAATGAGTAAAAAGCCTCTGAAGTAAGAAGGATCTTACCCCATGAACGCGCTCCAGCATCCCAATGCAGAGAGTCAAACACCTCATATCGGTCAGGTCAGCCTCCCGCTTTTCCTCCACTGACATCGATTCAAGGTTACGCATACGTCGCATCGAGCCCTCCTTGCGGATGGTAGTTTGGGTCGTATCGCTCCGGCTAATATCGCCCTGTGCGGACGTCGGGTCTGCAAATCGAGATATAAGTCGATATCACTCACTTCGGCAATTTCATTGTCATCATCGTCGCGCAAATCGACGACAATTTCTACAATAACTCGAATGAGTTCGCGTTCTGAGGGCGAGATCTCTTTGAGTACGTCAAGACACGGTTCAATCAAGCCGGGCGGAAGCTCCGGGTGTGCCAGCATATTCTCTGTCCGATGAACGAATCAAATGAG